GTAGTTACGAGACTACAGTATTACTGATGACATTCTTACCTCTGTATTCAAAAATAACCTAACTTTGTAGGTACAGTTTTGGAAGCAGATAGTAAATGAGATGGCATCACATTTATCTGTTGCCTATAAGAGGGATGTTTATTTATCATCCCTTTGTATTTGCAAATTCTTTCAGACTGATAATTTAATGAAGCGTTTGAAGATTAAAACTGCATCCTGTACTGACAGTCACGTAAATATTGGCCATTTAAATGGTATTAGCAAGCTATAAACTTCTGAATGATCACTGTGTAGCTGTGGAGTTCAGTATCAGTACGTTAAAAAAGGTTGGAAAAATTGATTTTTCACTGACATCCAACATCTGCTAGGCTATCAGAACAACAAGGGTGAGGTAAGGAAAGGCTATGAGACACAACATAGTTTTCTGCTGCATTGTATTTCCAGAGCATACTTCCAATATTGAACTGAAAGTAGTGGTGAGGTTATGCTCTGCAGTGGCTCATACACTGATGCATGTCAATGAACTAAAGCCTGTACTGTGAAATCAATGCTTATAGACTTTGTCCTGTAAAAGTCAGGCATTCACAGCCCCACATCAAAATGTTTTATTAATTTTAAAGTGAATGGACATCTTGTGTTCTCTTCTTGTTTTGTTTTGTTTTTTTTCTTGAATAATAAAACACTAAGGAAATTACTTCTTTTCATTTTTTCCCAAGATAGTAATTCCTGTTTTGTTGCATCTTAATCTCAACAAGTATTTCATAAATAGTCTGGCGGTTGCTTACCTTTTTTTAAAAAGGTACATTTTCTAAGTTCTGTGACAGAGTTTAACTCTAACTCTTTCAATATAAATTACTCTGAATGTATGCCTGTCACTAACAAGCAAGTAGTATTATCTGCTTTGTCTTGCTCCTTGTTTAAGTAACTACTAAGGTTTGCAGGTAGTAGTAAAACAGAGCTATTGATAAGATCAAATTAAAATAAATTTGCTTTAGTATGGTATAGCTGGTTGGTTAAAATTTCCCTTCTAGGCACAGCTGTTAATTTTTCTCCCTTGCAGCAAGCTTCCTTGATAATAAATGTCCTTTCATTATCAGCAATTTTCTTCTAACCTTTGTGTCATTTAGCTGATTTTTGTCATTCTTATGTTTCATGTTCCAGTAGATCTTTGGCTCTTCACATTTATTATCAAGTTTTAATTTGAGGGAGAGGCAGAAAGGCATAAAGTAGCTGTGCTGGGTATACGAAGATGCTTGGTTTTGTGAGTGTACTTACTGGGGTGGGGGGTGTTTGAGAGCTTGAAACAGTGTTTACCTGCACTGCAGCTAGCATGAGATGCTGGTGGTATTACCATTTGGTGAAACTTGAAGTTGCCAGAAAGAAAAATCAAGGAAACTATTCATCTGGTTTGGGCTGATAAATAAAACCAGTTTACTTTGTGAGAAAGCTTGTGACTGTGCCAAAGTTAATAAAAAGTTGAGATGAACTTTGCTTGTTATGTTCAAAGGCGCTCTCCTTCCAAAAACAGCTTTCCATCAGATACTGCTGGAATATTGGAAGTCTCCTCACCATCAGTGAGTCATACGCACTATAATCTGCGGTCAGTGTCCCTGCATGGGAGCCAAATGTTCAGAGATACCTAAGTGTCTTTGGTCCCAGCTGTCCCTCATTTCTTTTATGTGGTCTTGCCCTGGGGGAGGAGGGAAGGGTGAAATGCTGGGAATCACCTCAGAGGTTTCTAGTCTTTTACAGTAGAGAATATTTTCATTGTTAAGTCATCCACTACTGAGATCTGCTCAAAGTAGTCTTGGATTCAAAGGAAGCTCAAGAGGATGAGGGTCTGTACTGACAAACTGTAAGAAAGCTTTTGGTAACTTTTTTTTTTCCTTTCTGCTGTCTAATTATGCCCTTTCCCTATATCAGCTCATCAGGCAGTTTGCCCTGATTGCAAGTACTAACAGTGGTTAGAGGTCATTGCTGCCTTTCTTCAAAATGCCAGATGTTGCAGTACCAGCTCTTGTTTTCCTTCTGACATTCTCTTTCAAATAAGGCTTGTTGCTTTCTGAAGAACGGGTCTTTAGAAATCCTGTCACTTCTTTGTGCCCCTTTTTGAATGGATGACTGTAAAAGAAAGCAGATTTGTATGAGGTAACTCCTGTAAAAGTGTTAAGATGGCCAGCTTCCTTCAGGAGTTGGATTTTTTTTTTTTCTGATCAGCTCAAAGACTGATTGCACGAGAGTTATCTCATGTTGCAAACAAACTTACAGCAATGTTTTTTCTGCAGTGATGCAAAACTAACAGACTATCTGACTTGGATGAGCCAACACTTTAAAACATCTTGTCTTATTAATTAACTCCAGTTCTGGGCATTAAGATCCAGAACTAATGTAAGATTTCAGAAGAAACTGTATATCCTCAAAACAGAGGTATCCCTAAAGGAGTGTAGTTAAATGGCCAGAATAACTTAGTGTTAAAAGGAAAATCATCCTGGTTTGTGGTGTGGTTTTTTTTTTTTTCTTCCACCATTCTATCTAAGCATCCATTTCTTTCCTGAAATTCTCTCACTAAAGAGCTTCATACTTCAGTGGACTAACAAAAATGAGGGCAAAAAATTATTATAGTTTGCTTTTCAGTCCTTTGTAATATTCATGTTTGTCAGCGTTCCTTAAGTGGGAGTTTACTTTCTGATCTTCATTATGATAGTTTTGTTATCTATTCAAACACAAGGATTTGGAAATCTTTTTCCAACCTTAATCATTTAGAGCAAGACTTTCAAAGGAACCATCATAGGAAAATTAGACTCTGTGGTAAATCTCAGAAATAATGGTCTCCTCATTGTTTGATAGTAATATGCAGAGCTACATAGCATAGGGGAGTGATTTTTGGAAAGAGTTTTTATTGCAGGTTTGCATGCCGCCACAGTGAATTCATGTCATTTGTGTTTTTGACAGTTAAAATATTCAATTAGTGTTGTTTGAAATTATAGTAATGGTTTATGTTGTTTCCATACAGCACATGCATCATTTGTGAATTGCTAACTTAAAGCCATATTATATATATAAAAATACAGGACTAAAGCAGAAGAGTAATTCATTTCTTTAAAAAGAGTTTCTCTTTTCTTCCACAGGTATTTCTAATACTTTTTCTTTGTTTCTTAACACTTAAGAGTTTGTTTAATTTTTTAAAATTTAATTATGTGTCAGAGTTTCTTTGGTGTATATGGGAACGGCCTTAATTAAAACAAACAAACAAACAAAAAACAACCAAAAAACCTTACCACAGTTGTTTCTGTAGGCAACTATTTACTTGTTTGCATTATAGAAGAACCTGGAATCTTGGAAGTGCAATTAAGCTTACATACATTACTGGATATTCACAGCTGACATTAACAAAGTTTGAGAGAAAATACTATCTTTAAGTGACTGTGGGAAATGCAGAAAATTAGTGACAAAGCTTAGAAAGTTAATGCAAGTCTGCTTCTTCAAACTCAATGATGTTCTTAAGCAAACTGTTAAGTAGTGTAGCATTTTTATTTCTGTAAAGAACTGAACAACAATTAACAAAAAACCAAGATGTGGTGCTATTAAGATTATAGGAAAGGAGTGAAAGCCATGCAGCCAAGGAGAGAGTCATGTACTGAAGTTAAGTAATCCACTTCGTCTGTGGAAAGCCATTGTACAAAACTAAGCAAACAAACACATCCTATCAAAAGAGGAGGATCAACTCCAGACAGTTCAAACATTGACAATTGAATAGCAACAGAGTAAATGCAGAAGGATGGAGGAGAAGACTGTCTACCTAAACTCAGTAAATTGAAACCAAATAGAAAATTTCCTATGGAGGTTTTCTACAAACAATGTCTGTCTCTCTCTTCTTGGGAATCCAAAAACCAAATTAAATTTCTGTCCTTGGAGCTGAAACATAGACTATGAGTTCCCCTTTCAAATAGACAGAATATACTTTGGTGAAATGATAGTAGACAGTCATTTGAAACAGTGCAGAAGGAATGTGCTTTAGGAGGAAAAAAAAAAGTATATTTTAAAATTCATTAAGGACAGTCTTTATTAAGAAAAAAGTTGTCAAATATCTCAGACACTGAGGTATGTAAACAATTAACCACTACCTAGATATATTCTTCGATGGGGACTTCCAAATTATAAGAGATGTGTGCGTGAGTGTGGGATGAAACTCTACTACAGAGATTGCACCTCAGTCTTTTTTTTTTTTTAAGAATAAGATATTTGAGATTATTGAGTTAAATTTTATCTAGTATTTATCTTGCAAGATAAATATGAGGGAAGGGTTCTGAGTCTTTGAAGAAACTTCTTAGGCTATTGTTAATTTAGATTTGTTCTAAATATGCTTTAGCAATGTCTAAGTACATAATAGTTTTCTCACTCTAAACACATTTTTGTATAGACTACTGAAGAGCTACTCACATTAACAGGTTTTTTAACACAAATATGGTATATTCAAAGTGATACCTAGATTGGTGATTGATTGGCTCCTTTTAATAAAACTTCTTCCCAATAAAATGGATGATGAGGTTGTGTTTAGTTGTAGCTTTTGTTAGGACTGGGGCTTTTTGTGAAGATGAGCCATGTATTGCCTTTTTCTGCTGATTTGTATTTGCATAGGTTAGCTCAGTATTGTTATTAATTGTATATAAACTATTGAGCAGATGTGTACACACATACACTTATTTTTATGTATATATTTATTTTGCTGACAATTCCTTCCACTGCTCTCTAGTTTTGGCATATTTAGCTCTTCAGAACTGGTGACATCTGGTTCCATCTTTCTCCAAAGGTGTAAACTGGATTGGCAGACAGTTAATCTATTATGTGATAATCTGCTTAAAGAAGTCAATGGATGTCCTAATGTAATTTTTTTATTAATATCAGTTGTATGGTTTTATTTAAACCATCATTAGTAACCATGAATCCTTGCAGTCAACTTAATCGACATTACTCTTAACTTTTAAATTCTTTCTCTCTAGGCAGAACTAGTGAAAGGGAACCTGCAAAGTGTTGGGCTCACGCTCCGGCTTGTGCAGTCCAAGGAGGAAGATGCAGGGCATGTTGTCATTGAAACTGTAACTCCAAACTCACCTGCTGCAGCTGCTGATCTACAGAGGGGAGACAGACTTCTAGCAATTGGCAGTGAGTAATATGTCAGCTTTCAAAATAAGTGTTGTCTTGCAAACTGGGAGGATATGGCTGCATACAGTTCAACTAGACTGCCTTTCTCAATAGTTACTGTTATGCCTGGCACTCATAATAAAAAATAACATTTATGGCCACTTAAGGTTATCATTCACTTGATTTGTTTTCTTGCATATTTATTTACTTTTTGCTAGGTAAAAGCCAAAATAAAGTTGAATAAACATTTTAATGTAAATAGGTTCTAACTGCTCTAATAGGGATGCTGTGAGGTTTGCTACTTAGTTTCTTCCAGTGATGTTATAAAATGTGCTTAGTCTACAAAGAAAACGATAACATTTTACATCTTAGGCCTGCATACTCAGCTTTGAATCTAAAGGTACTAAATAGAGTATTGAACAAGTAGTATAAACATATTTTTGACTAACAGAGTAATTGCCTGAAATGTCAAAATGACCCAAGAAGATCTGCTGAGTATTAGATAGTGTTTTTGTACTTTTAGTATCAATTTTTGTCAGCTCTGACATGTAGGAGCCTAAGTATTATTTAGAAATCTATTCTGAAGTTCTCGTATTTGAAGACTTTGGCCAACTTGTAACTGGCAGGTAAGTGCTGCGTTGAGGCAAAAGTTACCCTTGACCTTTGCGCGGGGAGGGCACTGTGGTTTTGTTTTTTTAATAAAGATTTTGTTGAAATCCCTGGGCATTATGAAGTGGATTGATACTAGTTTATATTCCACAATTTTAAATTAGACCATCTACAGATATAGCTTGAATATTTCTGTTTTATATGGACCCCGTCACCTACAGAGAACTAGATCATAATCATAAAACATAATCAGAAACTGATACTGGAAATCTTTTGGCTTAAAACTTGATAATTGTGAGGAACCTACAGAATATGGCAGTGGACAGAAGGATAAATAAACCATTAACAAGAACAGTGGCTAATCAACTTAGTGGAAGGAGCAGATAGGAACCTGTTTATGATCGTTAAGAAATAATGCAATGTTTTCTATTTTACTGGATGTTGTGGGACTAAATAAAACATTATGGAATAGGAATCATATGTAGCTTAGTATAAAGTTGTTGGGATTTGTATACTATGCAGGGATTTATAAAGACTGAAAAGGAGTGGGAATATTACTGTATATTAATAACATTTTAGAAATAAGTGAGGGCACCACTGATGAAATAGAATGTAAACTGAAAATGGTAAAAGACATTCTGTTAGGGTTATATTGTGAATTTGGAGATTATCTCCATCATGTCCTTGGTACAGAAAGAAATGCAGAAAGAACTGCATAATTGAGCTATACATAGTATCCCAGGTATGCCTGCATGTGACAGCACACACGTTTCTTCTCCAAACATTAACTGTATAAATAAGAGGTAAAGTAACTTTATATTTGGTTCTGCTAAGACATTAAGATACTATAGAAGAATTAGTGTGGTAAAATACTATGAAGATAGAACTTTATACATTTACGACATGAACTACTTAAACTCCCTGCTAGCACAGTCGCATTAATTTTAAGTTTTTACCTGACAGATTTTACAGACCAGAGCTTAAGCACTACAACGAGTTACTGTGATTAGGTACTGCCTAAATCCCCATTGCATTGCTCCAGTGATTTAAAAGGGTTTTGAGTTGCTTCGAACAGGCAATTGATGATTGCTCTAGAACAAGGGAAAAGTCATTTTTACATGACCCCCTGCATGACTTTACTTGGCCTGTGTACTCATTAAGATGATTTAGTTTGCGTGTAATTTGTTGAATCTTACCATAGGCTGGAGATACTGTCAAATGGCTCTGAAAGTTCTGATATTTTCATAGAATCATTAAGGTTGGAAAAGACCTCTAGGATAATCGAGTCCAACCATCAACCCAACACCACCATGCCCACTAAACCATGTCCCTAAGCGCCTCCAGGGATGGTGACTCCACTGCTTCCCTGGGCAGCCTGTTCCAAGGCCTGACCACTCTTTCAGTAAAGAAGTTTTTCCTAATGTCCAATCTAAACCTCCCCTGGCGCAACTCGAGGCCGTTTCCTCTCGTCCTATCGCTAGTTACTTGGGAGAAGAGACCAACATCCACCTTGCTACAACCTCCTTTCAGGTAGTTGTAGAGCATGATAAAGTCTCCCCTCAGCCTCCTCTTCTCCAGACTAAACAGCCCCAGTTCCCTCAGCCGCTCCTCATAAGACTTGTGCTCCAGACCCTTCACCAGCTTCGTTGCCCTTCTCTGGACATGCTTCAGCACCTCAATGTCCTTCCTCTAGTGAGGGGCCCAAAATTGAACACAGTATTCGAGGTGATGAGAAAGATGATTCAGTTCATTGTTCAGCCACGCTGAGAATGTAGCATCATGCCTATATTTTGTTAACATATTGGAACTATTTTCTTTGTTAGCCTGCTTCTGTTTTAATTATAACTGTATTTAAAGATACCCATCTCTTTTGAATCCTTTGTTAAATGCCTGCCGCTGAAAAGTCCAAACTTAGTAAGACCAAGGTTAAAAATGTTAGCATATAAAATCACCACTACTGTATAAGATTACAGCATTAATAACAAACACCAAAATGGAGTATTTATGTTCATATCTTTTCCAGCTCCTGAAGTGATGCATTTATATGAATAAAATGGAAAGGATCCATCTGTTACATTTCAATCTCTTCTGTCATAATTGACTTCCTCTGTTAGTGAGCAAACAGTATTATTACCACTATTAAAGATCTCAACATGTTTGTTGACTATTTAGATTGTTATAATAATTAAAATTTAACAATATCTGTCTTTTTTTAATAGGTGTTAAAATCACATCAACTGTCCAAGTGTTGAAGCTTATTAGACAGGCTGGGGACAGAGTTTTAGTCTTTTATGAAAGGCCTGTTGGGTATAATCAGCATGGTTCAGCACTGCAGGATGGATTTGGACAATTGGAAGACACTGCTTTCTTGACACAGCCAGAAGATGACCAAGCTAGTTTATCAGCTGATGTTGATAACAGAGATTTTGATTCAGAATTTGAGGACTTAGCTTGTGAATCACCTGACCAAAAAGAAGATATGCCAACAACTCCGAGTCCCAAACGCTCAGTAGTAATACTTGCTGCTAAACCACTTGGAACTATATCTCCAATTCTGAATCGAAAACTACATTTAGGAAGTTACCAGACAACATCAAAAACGCAACAAAAAGATGGAGCTAAAGTGGCAACACCCAAAACTAATGAGGGTTCAGATGCATCACAGCAATCAGGTAAACAATCACAAGGATCCAGTACTAAGCCTCCTGTGCCACCCAGGCCACAAAGCAAGCTCATTTTGCCTACTGGTGAAACTCAAAATCTGTTAGAAACTGGAGGTGTATCTTCTGAAAAACCAGAGAGGCCACCTCCACCTACAAATAACGGAGATAAATGTACAGAGAAGGTAGTAAAGAATAATGATCAAATAGAAGACCCAACGGTATCAAAAGTAATAACAGCACCAAAACAAGATACATTAAAAGATGGACTTTCAGAAAATTCACGTAATTACAAAGATATTGGAGATGATCATCAAACATGGGAATCGCCAGAAGTTCCTTATAAAACCCGGCAAGGCCGATGGCCAAGGACGAGAACATCCTCCTGTCTATTTGAAGTAGAAGGATACCATAAGTACCTTAATGTTGCACTGTGGTGCAGAGACCCTTTCAAAGCAGGTGGTTTTATCTGCTTAGGATATGCAAGCATAAAACTTGAAGAAATTGCTTTAGATTGTATAGCTACATCCTCAATGGAATATATTAGAACATTTAAACTGGATGCTCCTACACCTAAAGCAGCAGTCACTAGAACAGCATTGCGGAATTTGACAACCCATAAGGGGTTCAATGAAAAATTTTGTTATGGCGATGTAACTTTACATTTCAAGTATTTAAAAGAAGGTGAAATAGATGATTCAAATTTACTCCTGGAGAAAGAAAGGGAATGTCACTTGGAAGAAGAAGCTCGGGCACTTCAGAAAGAAGATCCTTACTTGGGACAAATTGTTCTTACAGAGAACAAGCATAACTTTCAAGATACTCAGTTTCAGAATCCAACTTGGTGTGATTATTGCAAAAAGAAAGTATGGACTAAAGCGGCTTCACAGTGCATGCTCTGTGCTTATGTTTGCCATAAAAAATGTCAAGAAAAATGTCTAACTGAGACACCCTTTTGTGTAGGAGCTGAAAAGCGACTTGATCGAACTGTGGGAGGTTGTAGAGCAGAAGGACAGGAAGCTCCCCAAGCTCCCTCTCGTGTTGATTCAGAATCTAAATCTGTTAACAGAACTACAGGTTTGACCAGGCATATCATCAATACAAGCACCCGTTTGTTAAACCTCCGTCAAGTCCCCAAAGCTCGCCTTTCTGAGCAAGGAACAGAGGTGGTAGAACCTTCGCCAAAGCACACACCAAATACTTCTGATAATGAGAGTAGCGATACTGAAATCAGTGGGCCAAGCAGTCCTTCAAAACGTGCAGCAGGCACTGGGATAAAGTTGGTCCGAAAGGAGGGTGGTCTAGATGACAGTGTCTTCATTGCCGTTAAAGAAATTGGACGTGATCTCTACAGAAGTTTACCCACAGAGGAGCGTTTTCAGAAATTAGAATTTATGTTGGATAAGCTGCAGAATGAAATAGACCAGGAGCTGGAAAATAATAATTCACTTGTTAAAGAAGAAAAAGAGACAACCGATGCAAGGAAAAAAGCCTTGATTTCTGCTGCGCTGGCTAAGTCGGGTGAAAGACTGCAGGCCCTTACGCTGCTGATGATCCACTACAGAGCAGGCATTGAGGATATAGAGTCTTTGGAGAACATGTCATTAGAGCGGCAGTCCAAAAGACTGATTAAAGATTCAGAGGAACCCAGCGTAGCAGAAGAAATGGATAACGAAGATGTCAATCTGACAGAGGCGCCAACATTCAACATCATAGTGGAAGAACCAGTTGATCCACCTCAATCAGTAGACTGATATTTACATGTTTAGCCTTTGAAGGAATGGACTAAAAGAATACTTTGCACTTAATTAGAAACACACACAAATCAAATTAAAACACTGGTATAATGTACATGTCCTGCTTCTCCACAGTTATTTGCCTGTGTAAGAGTATGGCTAATAATGGTTCTTCTCCAGCTACAGCACCATCATTTTGTTAAACTGGCTGGTTAAAACTACATTTGGGGGTTTATATTGGAAATTTATTTTTAATAACTTATTTTTATTTTTTCTAATTATGTAACCTTACCATTTCACTTTAATGTGTGTGGTGTCCTTAATGTATTACTTCCCCCCTGCCCCCCCCCCTTTTTTTTTTTTGAGCTAGTGTTTTCAACAGGAAACTGGCAGGATTTTGAAAATGTTTAGTTTCCATTGTATGATGAAAAAATTATAAGCTTGTTGCATGCCTAAGCTGATGACTGACACAGAAGTCACTGAGGGACCAGGCTTTAAAATGTTGATCACAGTTATTTTTGCCAAACGTATCATGAAAGCAAACAAAAGGTCTTGCATTTTGTCTGTAATTAATATTTACTAAAGTTAACATTGCATATAATTTGTTTCTCCTATTTTTGTTAAATACGAGAACTTTCCATAGTTTGTAATTAACATGAAATAGAGTAATGCTATGCTTAAAAAAAATCCTCCTTAGAACTTTGGGCTAAGTATCCTGATTGAATTATACTAGATATCGAAGTACATACCAGTATCTCATTTAATTGGGAATATTTTTGAGATAAGAGGCTGGTTGCCTTCCAGAACAAAATTATATATTTAAATGTTGTTGTATTATCTGATAACCTGATAAAGGAAAATTGTTCTTCTCAAGAGTTGGAGGTTTCATTGCATTCTATGAAAAAGCATGTAATGACGGTTTAAGTAATTTTTAAAAAATTAATATTTTGCTGCAGACACTATCTTGTCATTTCAGAAAGCTTAAGGTACAAAATACTTTACAAAATAGCTAAATGTGTTCTCTCTCAACACTTTTGAGTAATCATGTAGTGGTAAGTTGCATTCAGCTTCTCAGAAGAGACTGAGAGTCTGAGCAGGAGGATCACCTTTGTCAGAAAAATGTCTTGTAGTGTGTATAACATTTTTAATTGAGTCAAAATAAAATAAGTGAGACCAGTAGAGATGAGGAAGAATTGCAGCCAGCAGCTTTTGAAAAGAACTTTCTGGTCTTGTGCTATGTGTAAACTGTGGATCTTAGCATCACCTGGCTAAGGCTGTTGTTCTTATTTATTTCCTGTAAACATGGCTTTGTTTCATCTTCTGTGTATAGAAATGCCGTATAAAATATCATCTTTATTTTATGTACCGTGTTACGTACTGGTATCATTATCACTGGTAGTAGGAAAAAAAATGCCTTTGTGGAAATGCAGTTGAGTCTAAGATGATAAAATAACTCATTTAAATTTTCAGGCAGTCTGTAATGTACCTCTCCATTAAATTTGTTTCTCAGTTTATTTTGTGATGGGCAAAATTAAGAAGCAATGGTTTTCATAGATGGAAAAGCATACTTGTACTTCTAAACAAAACGGTTACTTCCACTCATGCAACTACTTGCACTTTTTTGAGAGTTCTGGGCAGTTGATACTTACTTAGTTGATGTATGGAAAACACTATCCATGCTAAAATAGGCATGTGACACACTTCTAAAATTAAGCTTCAGCAAATAACTGCACAAAATTAGCTTCCCTTATTGACTAGAAGTTATCTAACCTATACTTGCTTGAGATGCATATTAGGACTTCCTCACTCCATTTTCTCAGTGGCTTACCATTGGTGGTGATCTGCATTCAATCTCCATCAGTGTTTGCTCTTACGGACTATTACAGAGGTTTTCAAATATATGCAAGTACTTCATTTAAACCCTGGTACACATGAAGGAGCTGTGAAAACAATGCGAATACTGATTTAAAAAATGCATTCAAGGTTTTAAATTGACTTGTGTAATACAGTGGGTAAGAAAAGCTGGATACAGTTTTCCTCGTATAGTATTGCTAATGATGATTGTAAGAGATAAATTAAACGTAGTGCAATATTTTTAAATATACTGAATGGGAAAAGGGCAAAATAGTTGTATTTTAGTGATAAGAAGGAAAACATAAATTCCTATCTGGCATTAATAACAATAAGCGTTGAATCTCGAGGGTAAAATTGTAATACTACATTCCTGATGTAATCTTTGCTTCATGCTTCACTGTAAATAGCTGAAAATAAAGAATACCACAGAAAACAAGAATATCTTGACTTAATGATATCTGAATAGGTGGCAGCTACACACATTTGCAGACGATCTGCCTAATATGATTTTGTTGGCTATTATTTTATCATGAGAATAAGCTTTAATAAAATAGTTTTGCTAAATTATCAACTTCTTTGCATTGTGTTAATATTTTTTTTTTTTTAAACATTTGTATTGCAGTAGTTTATCATCTAAAGCCACTACTTAAAGGAAAGATCTTTGGGAGAAAAATATAAATTTTGCATTAATAAAACTACTGGTTGCTGGATTAATTGGCATTCTATTTGCATGCATTTATTTTTATTCTTCACAGTTTAATAGTAGACATAGATTTCTTTCGAAATGGTGATTCCAGTTGATTCTTTGTATACCTAGAGAATCTTACAAAATGCTAAGGATGTTTGTGGGGTTTTTTTAAGACCTCCAAGTACTGCTCAAATAATATTGCCATTCAATTATTGGTGATAGTGACTACCACCAGAGGCATGTTAGGAGAACAAATTGTCCAAGCAAAATTGCCTTGTCCTTCAGAAAATGTTAATGGATAACTAAACAAATCCTTACTGGTTTAGTAGCCTTTTTTTATCTAATCAGTTTTTCCTTATAATTCCTTATCCTTGGGTTTTTTCCCTCAAATTTGAAATAAAACATGCATAGAAGTTTACAACTACGGGGGAGAACTAAGGCGTGGGAGCAAATGAACCAAGTGACTTCTTCACACTTAAAGTGACACAGGTAAAAATATACAAAATATGAAAGAACCCAAATTTTCCAAATTTTTTTTGTGTATTTTCTCTGACTAAAGTTATTTCCTGACTGTCAGCAAAAAGGGTCCGTGTTTGATTACTTGTTCCTCCATGGCACAGAAAATCCAAAATATAGAACAACTGCTAGATGTCTTTTTTGGGGGGAAAAAGGTGGTGTAGAGAGCCCAAACATGGGTGTCTGCGTGGCACTTAACTCTGTCGTCCTCTAACTTCTGGTGGAGCAGGAGCGGAGCAAGAGCATAGGGGAGTCAGACTGAGCTGCGTGGGTCTGAGCTGTGGGACAACTGAGCAAACCATGGTAAGATGCTGGCCTGTAAGGCCCCTGCAGAAGAGGAGTATGATCAATTAATCTGTCCTTGGGCTTCCTTCTCATACTCCTTTTGTGTTGCAGATTAATGTGAACTCTTCGTTAATTTTGATCTGCTCAAAAGTAAAAAACCAAGCCACGAAGTAAGCCTGTGCTTACTTTACGTATAAGTTGCTTGTGTATTTAAGCAATACATTGGTTAATCAGCTGGCAAATAAATGAACATGTTGTGTAATAATTTAGAATTCTAACATTTGTATATTAGTTTCAAATTTAATTGGATTAACAATTTGATGTTGACCGAAAGAGTTCAGTGAAGCTAAGTAAAATAACTTCTCTTGGGGCAAAGTTTCAAGTATCCAAATGATCTACAACATTAAAATCTGAACCTACTGTAAATAATTGTCGATACGTGCAATTTTTACTTATTCAGTGGCAGTGAAGTACTCAACATACTGCAGAATCTTGGTTTATGCTGTATTAATGTCTGTCTCCAAACACCTTCTGCTTTGAAGGAAGGATTTCCATCTGTTATATATTCAAAAGAGTGCAACAGAAAATATACCACTATAAAATCTGTAAGTGGATTTTCAAATCAACTATAGGACAATATTGCTTGGTGTTTCACATCATTTAAGCCTCTTACGATGTTTCCTCAGACTCTTCACCCTTACTTAAACACCCTGTTCTGGCAGCATGTACAGGGGTGTGCCCTGGTACTGCACATTTTGGCCTTCTCTATTTCCCAAAAGTTAAATCTCAGACCAGCAGCCACATAACAGACTGGAGCTGCATGTATTTATGACCTGGAGTAAAAATACTTGTCCTCAATACAAACAAACTAGAAATGAGGAGTGCTTTCCCATGACCTGAAATATTTACTGGCTTTTCCCCCCCCTAGTATACAGTAAACCACAACGCATAAGGCAAATCATGAGGGGGATTCTTTTTTTTTTATTACTATTTTTACCTTATTACAATAGATCATGAACTTCTTTTAGATAACTTCATTTTAATGCAGTCTGAATGCATAATTATTGACAAAGCAATACTTGAAGTTTGATCCACTATATTTTTCATATTTTCTGACTATAGTATATACACTTTACAAAACTATATGTAAACATAGTCTCTATGCTGTAGTACATAAAACATCTGCAGTTACATGAAAGAAGGCACATAAAGATTTTAATTTTACAAATGAAAAGATACACCACGGTTGATAAGGATATTGGGATTGTTTTAAAATGCTTTCTTTAAACGTCTGATTTTTCTCAGTGCAGATAGGGACTGCCTAGTACAGTGCTTTTCCTGTATTAGACTGTGCCCGCAAATGTTAAGAGATATTGGCAACAAACTGGTCTTTTTTATTACTGTTAGACAAGTTGATATTTTAACTTCATATTTTGAAAAATGTGTATTGAATTTCTAAATGTGTACGCAAATGCATGTAAAATAGGTTTTTTGTTTGACCTGCTTAAGTTACCGGCTTATTTTCAGTACATGCGAAGACTAAATACTGTGATACTGCAGCTTTTCTTAACCAGCCACTTAAGGTGCAGCTAACATAAAGTTGAGATATGTTAAAAATAAAAGATAGAAATATAAGAAGTATCTTCATGCTGTTCTTATTCCCTTTAAGGGAAAG